CCAACTTATTTTAATTTTTATTCACGCGTAGCACGGTATGCGTGTTTTGTAACACGAAAAGCAAAAGCTCACATTGCGTTCTCAGGTAACCTTGTTAATAATAATAATAATAATAATAATAATAATAATAATAATAATAATAATAATAATAATAATAATAAGTTACACTTTTCAATTAAAAAATTATTCACAGTAATAAAATAATCTTTAAATAAAATAAGAAATCAAAATGTCAAAGTATAAAGCAAAAGCTGTTGTTCGCACATTGTAAGTTATAACAATGAGAAGAACAACATGGAAAAACCATAAATTATTATTATGACTTGCCTTATGAAATTAAAACACCTTTTGATTCCAACTCACATTAATTTATAGAAAAAACTACACTAGAAAATATTCAGACATCCAAGCCAAGGTTAGAACTGCAACTTCGAATGATCCATGGGGTGCAAATAGTACATTAATGGCTGAAATTGCTCAAGCAACATTTAAACAGTAGGCTCTTTTTTCCTTTTTCTTAATAATTGATTTAAAGAAAATTATAACATAAATTGAATTACATTATATCAGTCATGAATTCATGGAAATTGCGGAAATGATTGACAAAAGATTAAATGATCATGGTAAAAATTGGAGGCATGTTTACAAAGTAAGTTATATTTTTAAAAATTTTTTTAATGAAAAAGTAATTATATTAATTGAAAAGTGTATACTTGTGTTCATTTTCTCCTTCTTATTATAGGCACTTGTTCTATTAGATTACTGTCTTCATCTAGGGTCCCAAGATGTTGTTTCATATGCAAAAGAAAATTTATATGTGGTAAAAACTTTAAGAGAATTCCAATACATTGATGATGATCTGAAAGATCAGGGCCAGAATGGTACAAAAAATTATTATTATTTAAACTGTATTAAATGCAACAAACAAATGAATAATTTTTTATTTTATAATTTATTTAGTTCGACAAAGGGCCAAGGAGATCACTGAACTTCTTCAGGATGATGAACGTTTACAGCATGAAAGAAACCAACATACTGAATTGAGACAAAGATGGACAGGCAATGATGATCCCTTGACAGATAGAAGTTATAACAATAGTGCATCTACATATGAACATCCTAGTTATTTTGATGAAGAGGCTGATTTAAGAAAGGCAATTGAAGAAGCCAAAAGGTCTGCACAAGATTGAGAGAAATTAAAAGAAATGTATAAAAATTTTCTCTGATAATAATACATATATTGATTGATTTTTTAAAATATATTTTATAGTGAGGATGTTGAAGAATTGGTAAAAGCATTAAGGTTAAATAAGGAGAAAGAAGAACAAAGGAAAAAGGAATCAGATAAAAAACTTGAAATGAGTCTTCTTGATCTTGGGTAAATATCAATTTAATAATAGGGGATTTTATAAATGATCTATTTTAATTATTTAGTACTTATGCTTACACATACTCATACACATGCATGTATAGACCAAGTTAAGTATTATATTATAAATTAACTTTTACAATACTAAAACAACTTTATTAAAGCATCATCTAATTAAATAATTTATTTTTTATTTCTTTATAAGAATCAGAAGGTAAATGTTATATTATAAATTAACTTTTACAACACAAAATAAACTTTATTAAAACATTATTTAATTAAATATTTTTATTTTTATTTTTTTATAATAATTAGTTGGTAAGTGTTACATTATAAATTAACTTTTACAACACAAAATCAACTTTATTAAAACATCATCTAATTAAATAATTTTATTTTTTTATTTATAGATCGTAAGTATTATAATATAAATCGACTTTTGCAACACAGAATAGACTTTATCTAATCCAATTTGTTCTTTCTTCATAATAACCAGCATGTAAGCGTTATATTATAAATCAACTTTCACAACATATAACCTAATTAAATGAATTGAATTTTTTATTACTTTAATTTTTTTATTATTTTATAATAACCAGTTGGTAAGTATCATATTATAAATTAATTTACAACAAAATCAATCTTATTAAAACATCACCTAATTAAATAAATTTATCTTTCCTTTTTTTATGATAACCAGTTGGTAAGTAATATATTGTAAATTAACAAAATAAATGCCATCTCATTAAATAAATTTCTTTTTTGCTTCTCATAATAACCAGAATGTAAGTATTATATTATTATAAATTAACTTTTACAACACAAAATAAACTTTATTAACATCATCTAATTAAATAATTTTATTTTTTGTTTCTTAGGGAGTAAGTATTATATTATAAATTAACTTTTACAACACACAAAATCAACTTATTAAAATATCATCTAATTAAATAACCTTATTTTTTAATGACCAGGTTGTAAGTATTATATTATAAATTAACTTTTACAACACAAAATCAACTTTATTAAATCAACTTCTAATTAAATAATTTTATTTTTTGTTTCTTTAAATGACCAGATGGTAAATATTATTACTAAAAACTAACTTATGACACAAATGGACTTTATTAAAACATTATCTAATCAATTACTTTTATTTTTATTCTTTATAACCAGATCGTAAGTATTATGTTATAAATTAGCTTTTACAACACAAAATAAACTTTATTAAAATTAAATATTTTTACTATTTATTTCTTAGAGTGTAAGTATTATTATATTATAAATTAACTTTTACAATGTAAAATAAACTTTATTAACCATCATCTAATTAAATATTATTTTCTTTCTTTATAATAACTAGCTGGTAAGTACTATATTATAAATTAACTTTTACAACACAAAATTAACTTTATTAAAACATCATCTAATTAAATAATTTTATTTTTTATTCCTTAGCATGTAAGTAAACTAACTTTATAACACAATATAAACTTTATTAAAACATCATATATTTATTTTTTATTTATTTATAATAATAACCAGGGAGTAAGTATTATATTATAAATTAACTTTACAACACAAAATATACTTTATTAAAACATCATCTAATTAAATACTTTTATTTTTTTATTTCTTAGAGTGTAAGTATTATATTTATAATTAACTTTTACAACACAAAATAAAACAACATCTAATTTAATTTTAATTTTATTTCTTTATAATTACCAGATGGTAAGTATTATATTATAAAATTAACTTTTACAACACACGAAATAACTTTATCTAATTAAATATTTCTATTTTTATTTCTTAGTATGTAAGTATTATATTATCAACTTTATTAAAACATCATCTAATTAAACAATTTTTTTATAATAACCAGATAGTAAGTATTATATTATAAACTAAACTTTTACAACACATTATCTAATTAAATAAATTTATTTTTTATCTCTTAGGTTTACAACCATCAGTATTACCTAATTATTGTGTACAAATGGCATCAACTAGGAGGCCAGCTATTGGTGAGCTTCGAAGATTTGCTCTGAATAAATTTAATA